CAGAGTGAATTTGGATACCCAAATAACGAAAAACTGATGTGAAATTTGCAGTTTCATGTTAGAGAAAAAGTCATACGGAACAATGGGGACGATAGGAAACGACGATTTGTCCCAACCAACCTTAAGACCCGAAGCCTCTCCAAACTCCACCACACACATCAGACCAGAGAATGATTCAGCAAAGCCATCCAGATATACCAGGGCATCATCAGCGTATAGTGAAATTTTCTCTTCTAGCAAACCAACACGAATGCCCTTAATCGCTGCCACCTGACGAACTGCCAGAGCCAAGGGCTCATTGGCCAGTGCAAACAGGAGGGGAAAGAGGGGGCACTCCTGTCTCATGGCCCTATGCAAGGGGAAGGCCGAGGACACATCCCTATTAGTACGGACCCGAGCCCTGGGATTGGCATACAGCAGTTGGACCCAGCGCATAAATTTAGAACCAAACCCCATCCGGGACATGGCTTCCCATAAAAAAGGCCTTCTGCACATCTAAGGATAACAACAAACCCACTCCACCCCTCAACAGATGCGTTATGTATATGTAAATATAGGCGTTGTATGTTATCAAAAGTGCTCTTTCCAGGTATGAATCCAGACTGATCCGGGCGCACTAACATCAAGATCACTCTCTGCAAACGGGTGGCAAGAAGTTTAGCCAAAATTTTAACATCACTATTAAGCAATGAAATTGGATGATACGACCCACACTGTAACAAGTCCTTATCAGGCTTGGGTATTAACACTATGAGAGCTTCATTCATAGAATCAGGAAGTGATCTGTCTTCAAAAGATGAATTAAAAAGGGTATGTAGATGCGTAGCCAAATCCTCCTTGTATGTGCTATACCATTCAGAAGGTAGCCCATCTAGCCCCGATGTTTAGTTGGAAGGCAGGGAGCAAACCGCTGCCAATATTTCTTTTACTGTTAAGGACGCATCAAGGAGGGAACTGTCTAATACATTTAAGGTGGAAAATTCAAGGGAGGCAAAGCCTACAAAGGAGTCATCAGTTGGAGCTCCAACATCTGAATATAACGTTTTGTAAAAATGAGCAAAAGTCTGATTAATAATCAGATCAGAGGAAATTGTGCCATCCGACAATCAAATTTTGGGTATAGAGCTATTGGCAGCCTCCGTGCGGGAGAGATACGCCAACAACTTACCATTCTTCCCACTATGCTCAAGCAACTGAGCCGATAAATAAAGTTGTTGTTTACGAGTTAAATCAATTAGGTGGAGCTGTAAGGCATGATGAGCGTTGATTAAAGCACCTTAAAGAGACTGGCGAGGGGAAAGAAGTATATTGAGAATGTGCGGAAGACAAGAGGGCCTCAAGCTGCCGTAGTAACCTTACGGTAATGAACAATATTGGAAATAGAACCCCCGAATTACCACCTTGAAGGCGTCCCATTGACAGCCCGGGGAAGTAGAGTGTTCATTTGTAGCCCAATAATTAAGCATTTCAGTATGAATGGGTCCTTGAAATTCTGGCATAGAGATCTAGAGAGGGCTCAGCCTCCAGGAGCGAAAAGCAGGTTTATGGCCCAATTGTAATTCTAACCACAACAAAGAGTGATCAGAAACCGTCTGAGGAACATACGAAATAGAGAGCACCCAAGGTAGCACCGCAGGCGACGCCAAAGGATAATCCAACCTGGAAAGAGCATGATATGATTTGGATTGACAAGAATACACCCTGGGCGTAGGGAATTTAACGCCAAATATCAATAAAGTGAAAAGAGTCACACCACTGCCCAAAAAACTTAGAATCACAGGAGAGGGACCTCAAGTGGTCCAAAGTAGGATCCAGGACCGAGTTGTTGTCCCCCAATATAACAGTAGCAAGACAAGGCAGTGAAGACAATCGTACACTTAAGTCAGTAAATATCGCAGCCGTGACAGGAGGGGAAAAGTAAACAGCTACCAGGATCAATGGGACACCATGTATTGAACATAGTAAAAGGACATATTGACCTTTAGGGTCAGTGATCACCTGATCAAAGGAAAAAGGGAGGCCCTTACAAATCAACATAGACACTCCATGTGCGTAATTCGAATAGGTAGAGTGGTATCCATGTAGTACCCAATGTTTCTTAAGGGAAAGAATTTTGGAGCCCCATGAGATGAGTCTCTTGGAGACAGAAGACATGAGGACGATGGGACTTAAGGAGTTCAAAAACAGAGGCCCTCTTGAATTTAGAGTTCAGTCTGCAAACATTCCAGGACAAGAACGTAACAGAAAACATTGGTCAAAATGGAAATATGGTAACTAGGTGGAAGGGCAACAGGGCCCAGGACCAGCAGAAAACCCTGTCACCACTGCGATACCACTAGGGGGAGATGGTGTGCAAACACACAAATCAAACATACAAAACAGCCACACCACAGGCAACTCAACAAAACTTTTTTTACAGGAAAACAAGCAAACAATAACCCAAACCCCTGCCCATCTCCAAAAAAAAAGGAGTGGGCTTAAACCCAAAACCAAGGACAGTCACGGGAAACATAACCTGAGATCCCATGGTGGTCAAAAAAGGGACCAAAAAAAGATCAAACATGAAAATCAGAACCAGTCAAGCTGGAGCGTTAGGCAAAAGGAAAACCATACATCAACAGCCAGCCAACAAGCTAAAAAAAACCTCCTTGCAGGGAAAAAATATTAGTGACCGCCCAACCAAGCGGACACCAAAGAAAGTAGTAAGACAGCTTGCTTGTAGACATGACCATCAAGGTAATGGAGGGGAAGAAATAGATCTAGGGGGACGCGGCAGGGCCTCAAACCATGGGATGACCGTGTCAGGGGTCTGAAAAAAGTGTACTTTATCTTGATGTACCACACATAGAGTAGCAGGGAAGAGCAAAGAGTAGGACAGACCACATTCACGGAATTTCTGCTTGACATGTTGGTATTTGGCCCTGAGATTGCGAACTGTCGTAGAATAATCAGGGAAGAGAGACACCACAGCATTGTTGATGCGAAGGCTCCCTTTCAGGCGAGCAGCACGTAGAATAGAATCCCTGTCCCTGAAGTTTAGAAGGGAATCACCATGGTGCAAGGGAGGCTACCTTCAGGGAGAGGCCTACTTGGAACTCTATGGGCTCTCTCAATTACAAAACAGGTAGATAAGCAGGCACGGCCAAATTCCTGTTTCAGCCAACTCTCCAGAAAGGCCACCGGATCAGACCCCTCCACTTTCACGGGCAGGTCCACCAACCGCAAGTTATTCCTACGATGGCGATTTTCCAAGTCATCCACCTTATCCTCCAGAGATTTAATTTAGGGGTAAACCCCATACAAATTAACTTTAGGCAGGAGAGGGTTAATCACATCCTCCAAATCACTAATGCGCTTCTCTATAACAGACACCCGTTCTCTGACTTTATGCATGTCCTGGTGCATAAGAGTAAAATCAAGTTTAAGCTCTTCTACCTTCCCCATCAGATCGGAGTGATTTAGCTTGATAGTAGCCAGAACATCCGACAGGGTGGGCTCCGCAGCCTCCTCGGCACCATCATCACTAAGGGATGTCTGAGAGAGCAGCAGCGGTGGATCCAGAGCAACAGGCGAAGAGGCCTCCAGCGCCTCCCCGAACAACTCCGGAGTGGAGGCCAGGGAGGAGTGTGGAGCGGTGGCCATCTTGGCAGGTGCGGGCGCCAAGGCTCATCCTAGCCAGAGGCTGCTTATGGTGCACCCCCATCCACCAGACTGTCAGTCAGGGAGGTAAGAGTGTGCCCCCGCAAGCTGGGGGTAAAAAGAGCCGTCTTGCCCCCATGGGCGATCAGGATGGAGCAGGATTGTCGGAGGATAGCGAGCTACTGTAGGGAATGTCCGCTCGCATGGCACGTCAGGCCACACCCCCGAGATCTGTATTGTTTACATACAGGTCTCTTTCCTGTCAGAAATACTCGGAGATCGCTGGGTGCCGGCAGGGAATCACCGGCTGGGAACCAGTGATTGACAGCCGAGGCCACGAATGGAACCTACCCGGAACTGCAAAATCACATATATATATACATGATTTTGCGCACCTGTGCCACCCTGTAGCAGTATTTCTGCTATAGGGTGGTGCAGAATCGGTAAAAAAATAGTTATATACGATTATTGAGCAGTGCGGTCCAGTTCAGGTGCAGATTACAGGCTATTGATTTCTATGGGGACCTTTTCTAAACCGCATATGTGTGACCAAGATAAAATCCTGAGCTGATCCTGTCGTGAACCTCATGTAAACCTGACCTGAAGTGCTGAACAACTACTGTATCAATTAGCTGTGAAAACTGAGCTTCAATCTGCACTGCACATGTGTGAATCAGCTCTTATTTATTTCAGGTACTTATAGAACACCTGCCAAAAGTATTGGGACGCCTGCCTTTACACACACATGAATTTTGATGGTATCCCAGTCTTAGTCCGTAGGGGTCAATATTGAGTTGGCCCACCCTTTGCAGCTATAACAGCTTCAACTCTTCTGGGAAGGCTGTCCACAAGGTTTAGGAGTGTGTCTATGGGAATGTTTGACCATTTTTCCAGAAGTGCATTTGTGAGGTCGGGCTCTGATGTTGCATGAGAAGGCCTGGCTCACAGTCTCCGCTCTAATTCCCTGAGGTCAGGACTCTGTGCAGGCCAGTCAAGTTCCTCCATCCCAAACTCGCTCATCCATGTCTTTATGGACCTTGCTTTGTGCACTGGTGCGCAGTTATGTTGGAACAAGAAGGGGCCATCTCCAAACTGTTCCCATAAAGTTGGGAGCATGAAATTGCCTAAAATGTCTTGGTATGCTGACGCCCTAAGAGTTCCCTTTACTGGAACTAAGAGGCCAAGCCCAACCCCTGAAAACAACCCCACACCATAATCCCCCTCCCCCCCAAATATTACACTTGGCACAATACAGTCATGCAAGTACCGTTCTCCTGGCAACCACCAAACCCAGACATGTGCATCGGATTGCCAAACAGAGAAGCGTGATTCGTCACTCCAGAGAACATGTATCCACTGTTCTAGAGTCCAGTGGCGGTGTGCTGTACACCACTGCAGCTAACGGTTTGCATTGCACTTGGTGATGTAAGGTTTGGATGCAGCTTCTTGACCATAGAAACCCATTCCATGAAGCTCTCTACACACTGTTGTGCTAATCTGAAGGCCACATGAAGTTTGGAGGTCTTTAGCTATTGACTCTGCAGACAGTTGGCAACTTCTGAGCACTGTGTGCTTCAGCATGTGCTGGCCCTGCTCTATCATTTTACGTGGTCTACCACTTCCTGGCTGAGTTTCTGTTGTTCCCAGTTGCTTCCACATTGTGATACCACTAACAGTTGATAGTGGAATATTTTAGTAGCCAGGAAATTTCACAGATGGACTTATTGCACAGGTAGCAACCTATCACAGGACCACGCTTAAATTCATTGAGCTCCTGCGAGCGACCTATTCTTTCACAAATGTTTATAGAAGCAGTCTGCATGCTTAGGTGCTTGATTTTATACACCTGTGGCCATGGAGGTGATTGGAACACCTGAATCCTATGATTTGGAGGAGTGTCCCAATACTTTTGGCAATATAGTGTATATATACACACACTCACCAGCAGAAATTTAATGCATTTGGGCATCTAGACATGGTGAAGACGACTTTCTGAAGTTCAAACTGAGCATCAGAATGGGAATGAAAGGGGATTTAGGTGACTTTGAACATGGCATGGTTGTTGGTGCCAGATGGGCTGGTCTGAGTATTTCAAAAATTGCTGATCTACTGGGATTTTCATGCACAACCATCTCTAGGGATAACAGAGAATGGTCTGAAAAATAGAAAATATCCAGTGAGCGGCAGTTGTGTGGGTGAAAATGCATTGTTGATGTCAACGGAGAATAGGCAGACTGATTCGAGATGATAGAAAGGAAACAGTGACTCAAATAACCACTCGTTGCAAACAAGGTATGCAGAATACCATCTCTGAATGCACATGTTGAACCTTTGAAGCAGATGGGATACAGCAGCAGAAGACCACACCAGGTGCCACTCCTGTCAGCTACTGTAAGAGCAGGAAATAGAGGCTACAATTTTCACAGGCTCACTTGGACAGTAGAAGACTGGAAAAATATTGTCAGGTCTGATGAGTCTCAATTTCACTAGAGATGGTTGTGCGTGAAAATCCCAATGTAGCAGCAGTTTTTGAAATGCTCAGACCAGCCCATCTGGCACCAAAAACCATGCCATGTTCAAAGTCACTTATATCCCTTTTCTTCAACCATCTGATGCTCAGTTTGAGCAAGTCATCTTTACCACGTCTACATGCCTAAATGCATTGAGTTGCTGCCATGTGGTTGGCTGATTAGCAATTTGTGTCCCAAGCAATAGAACAGATGTACCTAATGAAGTGGCCAGTAAGTGAATATTGTACATTCACATAAGTCCTAACCCTCAAGGAGCTTACAATCAAAGGTCCCTAACTCACATTCTTATATACACATACTAGGGCCAAATTAGACAGGAACCATTTTGCCTACCAGCATGTCTTTGGAGTGTGAGAGGAAACTGGAGTACCCGGAGGAAACCCATGCAGGTACAGGGAGAACATGCAAACTACAGGCAGGTAGTGATGTGGTTGGGATTCCAAACCAACGACACTAGTGCCGTTAGGCGGCAGTGCTAACCATTTATCCACTGTGCTGCCTCTTTTTTTTATGCATTTTACCACATTCCAGGAAAAATGCAGCATGTACTACTGTTTTTTTCTGGAACTGGAACGTTCTAAAACTGATTGCACTAGTGTGAACTATGCCATTGGAAACCATATAACCTACTTCCTATATGTTTTTGATGCCGAAAAAAAAAAACACACAGGACTGCATGTGGTGTGGAATGGCCGTACGAGGCTCTAAATACAAGAAGATGGAGGCAGGCATTCCAATTGTGTGACCTCTGTGATTGGCAGTTACATGATTCGAAAGCTCCCGATCGCAATTAGGCATCTCAAGCTTTTCAATAACTGAGCTGGGGGCGTGCTCTTTCAGCACAGAAATGTTTACATTTATATTCGGGATGCATATATGCGGCCTCTCTGCATTAAAGCCCACCCACCAAGAGGCAACATATATGCGTACGACTGGCGTAAACAGGTTAATATTTACTGGTCATAGAATGTACATAATACACAGTAAGGCTTGGTCCACACCTATGCTGTTTTCTTTTGACCTGTTTTATAATGCTTTTTTTTAATATTTGGGATGCATATATGCGGCCTCTCTGAATTAAAGCCCACCCACCAAGAGGCAACATATATGCGTACGACTGGCGTGAACAGGTTAATATTTACTGGTCATAGAATGTACATAATACACAGTAAGGCTTGGTCCACACCTATGCAGTTTTCTTTTGACCTGTTTTATAATGCTTTTTGCATTGTGCTTTGCATTTTGTTTTTTTTTTTCAGCTTTTTTTTGTTGAAGTGGAAATGTTTTTGTTGCTGTGCAGAAAAAAAAATACAAAACATGGCACAAATGCACTACATGCGTTTCAGCAGCTTCTCCATTGAACTCTGTTATAGCAAAAATGCTGCTTTTTGTTTTTAAAGAAGTCCCTGACCAATTCCAAAATCGCAGCAGCTCACAAAAGCATAGATGTGAACATGTTCACAGGAAACCATGTTAAATGGACTGTAGTGCATTTCTGTAAAAAGCAAAAAGCACTAAAAAACACATTGGTGTGAACCAGGCCTTAATGCATTTCATGCCAATATTTTTAGTTCAGACTTGAACACCCGTGAACAAAAAAAGTGATCTCACAGCAAAACACAAAAAAAAAACATTCACAAGGGTATAGAAATGGCCAAACTTCCAAAGAGGAAGAGCCTCAAAACACTGAACCGGGGAAAAGTACTCTATGGTCTACCTAGGCTGAAGCCCGGTGGACCTCACTCGTTAGGGACCCCAAGTACTTGGTGAGGGCTTCTCCTGGGAAGAGATATCTCCTGTTGTGGAGGGTAAAAAGGACTGAAGGGCACATATCTTCCTCATGACACCAGGGCAGGCCCTATAACCTACAACCTTAGTCTCTGTGCCTAAAAAAAAAAGGAAAACAGTAAAGTGCCCGTGAAAAAAAGAGTGAAAAATAAAAGATGTAAAATTCACACAGCAGGTCTTTTGGCCAATTTACAAATTTCTCCAAGCTAGTCAAAAGGCCCACTCGGGAGGCGTGTGCAAGTAACACATTAAATGAGAATTAGGGCCAAAGCTCTTTTGGCCCTACGTCTCCTGGGAATCACAGGAGTGCACTTCTTTTTTCAGAGCCCATCCAGAGATCCGAGAATGTCGAGATACACCCAGATGCCTAAGCCAACCATTCCCACCCCCTCCTCAGCCCAGTGCTGCAGTGAGCACTTGAGGGGCAGAGCAGGGGGCACATGACTTACAGTGATGTCTCTCTGCTCAGAGCGGAAGGGAGATCTGAGCAATCAGTTTTTGATCACTCAGTTCTCGGTGTAGAGCCAGCGGGGGAGAGCTGCAGCTTTCGATCAATGCTGCATCCACTTAGGTAAGTATGTATGGTTTTTTCATATCTCGCACTTCTCTTTTATACAAGTTGTGGTGTCCCTAAGGTCTGGACACATGGTAACATGAGAAAAAAAAAACATATAGTTAGTGATATTTCATATGTATCCAGACTTTAGGGACACTCTGTAGTATATGTAAACCCTCACAACCCATACAGTTTAAAATAGAAATGAAAGGTAAATCATTTGTGTATAGATATAAAATAACAATCCTAAATACCGGTACCTGTTTTCCCTTTTTTTATAAGTGATTGCATACCTTCTGTTCTCAGGAGCATGGAGAGATGAGGGAGGTGAAACATCAGCATACTAGTAGACATACAGAATGAAAAACTTTGTTTCGTTTTGTATCTATTCATTAGGCTAATAATCTTGTTTTGTTACATTTGTAACATAGCTCATTTCATTTAGTTTCATTTCGTTTATTCATTCTCATCCAGATTAAAATTTTTCCAATGATTTCAAAGTATTCAAACTGAATTTGAATCTAAAATATCAAATAAATCCGAATTCATTGGGAAGAATAGCTGGTTCTATTCTATTCAAATTTTGAAAGATGGCTATATTCTTTCTATTTTGTTTTATTTTAAGCTATTCTATTTTTTTCAATTCTATTCTTTTCTATTGTTTTATGCTATGCTATTCTTTTCTATTCTCTTTTATGCTATTCAATTATTTTCAAAATTACAATTTAGGAAGATGGCTATATTCTGATACACATAGTCTTTGAAGGAAATCAGCAATAGTCAGAAATATATATATATTTCGAATTTGTTTTCAAATTCGATTTAGTTTTCGTTTTCGATTCATCATTTCAGACAAAATTTTGTTTTGTTATTTTGGATTTGTTTCAATTCGTTACTGTTGTAATTCTAATACATCCAAATCTCCAAATAATTAAAATTGTATCTGAATTTTGATTCAAAACGAACCATACAGGACTATACACTGGTCTTCCCAGTGAATGGCTGTGCAGGGGGGGAGTGCCTGCACAAGTCTGATCATCAAATAGACTGTAAACTTTGCAAAGCACTTTGCAAGTGCAGTTGCTCTGGAGCTAAGTGAATATGGTAAAGCTTCACATTAAAAAGAATACCCAATCACATGTAAGGGAAATTTAAAAAAAAGGAATTTTTGCTTGCACATGATTGGATGATGGAAGTCAGCAGAGCTTCTGCTCATTTACTAATCTCTGAAACAACTGCTCTTGAATGGTGCAACTGCGCTTTGCAAAGTGCACAGTCTATTTGACTTTAGTAAATCAACTTCACTGAGTTCCAGCACAACTGGAGAACTGACCACACTGTGCTCTCATGCCAAGTATGGTCAGTTTTTGTTTTTTTTTTAATCGGAAAGCAGATGGACTGGCAGGCACACCAGGGATGTCAAAGAAAGGAAGCAATACAGAGAACAGGAAACCTTTTCATACAAGTACATGGTACAGCAGACACATATCAGGAATATAAAAATGTTGGGTTTACATATTCTTTAAGTGACGTATCCTACTACCAGAGAATGATGCAAAGGTGTACCATGGCCAAAGTGTTTTTTCTAGCACCCCTGGGACACCACTCTCAGGGGGTGCATCCCCCGAAGCTTCCTGCACCTCCCAGCCCCTGGCCAGACAACTGCAGCAACATTTCTACCATAAAGGCGTTAGCACTTAGAGTTCTACCTTCAACCAGGAACACGTCTGGCTTACCTCTTACCTCTTGAACTTCACCCTTATCCTAAAAATGACAACAAAGGCACCTTTATAAATGTTTAGTAGTGGTAGTTTACTTCACAGAGCTCTGTAAGACCCTGGTTACACCACCAGTCTCTCACTCAACCAAGAATTCCAAAAACAGTAATTGTTAGTATAGTGAAAGGGGTGGGGTTCCACTTTAAAGCATTCCCACAAAGCCTTCCTG